CTGTGTCAAGCTGAGCTGTGCCTGCCTAGGTGGTATCTTGTCCTGAGCTGTGCTAAGCCAAGCTGAGCTGAGCCATCCTGTACATCACATGACATCCCAAGCTGTGCTAAGCCAAGTCGAACTGAGCTGTGTCTACCTGGGTGTCCTGAGCTGTGCTGAACCAAGCTGAGCTGAGATAAATTGCACCTATCTAGGTGACATAATGTTCTGAGCTGAGCCAAACCAAGCTGTGCCAAGGTGAATCATGCCTACTGAGATTCCACAATGTACTGAGCAGGGCTCAGATGAGCTGAGCTGGGCCAAGCCAAGCTGTGCCAAGCTGAGTTGTGCCTTAACTGGGTGGCATCATGTCCCAAGCAAGACTGAGCCATGCTGAGCCATGCTGAGCTGAATTGTGCCTACTGGGGTGGCACAATGTCTTGAGCTGAGCTGGGCCAAGCCAAGCCAAGCTAAGCCAAGCCAAGCCAAGCCAAGCCAAGCCAAGCCAAAGTGTGACTACCTGGCACATCATCATGTCCTGGTCTATTGCTGAGCTGAGCTGTACCTGTCTGGGTGGTGTCACGTCTGTGCATATTGAGGTGGCATGGTGTCCTGAGCTGAGCTGTGCCAAGCTGGACCAAGCTGAATTGTGTCTACTTAGGTAGCAAAATGTCCTGAGCAGGGCTGAGCTGAGCTGAACTGTGCTGACCCAAGATGAGCTGGCAAAATGCCCCAAGCAGCGCTGGGCTGAATCTACTTGGGTGGTATCATGCCCCTAGCTGAGCTGAGCTGAGCCGAGCCATGCCACACTAAGCAACACTGAATGCACCTACCTAGGCAGCACAATATCCTGAGCAGGACTGAGCCAAACCAAACCGTGCCGAGCCGAGCCGAGCCGTGCCGTGCCTACCCAGGCAGCACGATGTCCCAAGTCGTGCCGCGCAGTACCGCGCCAAGCCGTGCAGTGCCGAGCCGAGCCGAGCCGAGCCGAGGGTACCAAGGTGCTCTGCCTTTCCCCCTCCCCGGCCGCCGCTGCCGGTGCTGCTCTCCGTGCCCCGGCGGCTCCCGGTGCCCCGGCGCTCCCGTCCCGCCCGTCTCCCATTGGCGGCGGCCGGTCCCGCCCCGCCCCGCTCCCCCGCCGGGCGGGTATAAACGGGCGCGGCGGGGCGGGCGAGCGGCAGCGGCGGGGCCGTGCCGGGCCCGGGATCGGGACCGGGATGGAGCCGGGGCTGGAGCGCTGGGCGCACGGCGCGCTGTGGGCGGCGCTGGCCGGCAGCCTGGCGCTGCGGGCGGCGCGGCGGGCGCCGGGGCCGGGCCGGGGGCTGGGGCCGCCGCTGGGCCGGGGGCTGGTGCTGCCGCTGGCGCTGCTGGCCGCGCTGCAGAGCCTGTGCCGCGCCTGGCTGCCGCTGCCCCTGGGGCTGGCCCTGGCCGCAGCCGCCGGGCTGCTGCTGTGGCGGGCGGCGCCCCGCGGGCTGCTGCCGGTGGCGGGCAGAGCCGTCCTTGTCACAGGTGAGTGCGGGGACACGGCCTCGACGCCCCGACGGCACCGCCTGGGCTCGGCGGGGAGCGGAGTGGGGTGTCCCGCAGGCACCAGGACGCTGCTGTCAGTGGGGTCCCGCTGGGGACCAACCACGGCTGCCAGCGCATCCCTCATCCTCTTCCACGTCCAAGCAGAACCGGCCAGGCTGTATCTGCCCCGCGAAGCAGGGAGTTGTATTGGCCCCTCGAGTGTTGACCACTAGTTGCAGCACGATGCCGAGAGCTGCTTCCTCTGGAAGCCCCGAGATTAGATGGGGCAGAGCCGAAGTGCTGTCTTGGGATCCCATCGGCTGGCCCAAGGGCTTCCCTCTCCTTCCCTTCCTCCCCTCTGGAGTTGTACTTGTTCTTAGAAAGGCTCTCATAGCATCTCTAGGGGCTTCAACAGAGTCGGCTACTCAGCACCGAGCATCACTGCTTCATCCAGAGCTCCATCCAGGGAGCTGCTGGTGACAAGGTTTTCCACTGTGTGGATGTCCTTGGGAAATGCTGCCCCAGCTGCTGCCTGCCTTCCCTTTGGGCTGCCTGGTCCTGAGCTCCTTAGAGAATGTGCTGTGCTCCCAGCTCTGGCTTGCAGGCTGAAGCTCTTTGGGATATCTTGGTATATACATGGTTTCTCACTCCTTCCTCCTGGCAGTGGAACAGGAGGATTAGAGCCCAGGTTGAGCAGTGCTTTGCTGTGAGGCAATAGTAGTGGAGGGATGAGGAGGAAGTGCTGGAGCTGGGGTGGTTTTTGCTCCAGGTGTGCCTAGAAGGTGCTGCTGGCTCCACATGGATGCAGAGGGGAGGGAAACTTCTGGGCATGACCTTGGTAGTGCTCCCAAGGACAGGAGCCTGCATCCTGGTAGGGATGTCTGGGCTGGAGTTGGAGGTGCTGAAGCTGGAGAAGGCAGTTTGCTTGTTTCCTAGAAAATTAAGGCAAGACCTGGTCCCCCTTCCAGCTAGAAGAGTTCTGTGGTGCCAGTGGGAAGCACAGGGAATCCTCTCTGGAGGAGGAAGATCAGAGGAGCAAGGCAGTGGACGAATGAATGATTCAACTGAGTGAAGGTCAAAGCTGCAGCAGGGTAGGGCTGCCTGGGGAGGATGCCTGACAGCCATGCACTCACAGGTGCCCTGTGGCACACTGGCTCTGGCAGCCCTGGCTCTCTGGCATTGCCTGTATAATTAGTGAGTCAGTGACTGGAACAAGGTGTTCTTGCCCCAGTGCGTTGAGGTGGCACCTCTGCAGCTCTGAAGTGTTTGCTCTTGGCTGTAAATACTTTGTGGTTTTACAGGTTCGAGGTGCAGCCCGCGGTGTGGGATCGGTGTTTCCGTACTGCTGCTCTGGCAAGTGCCTGCCAAGGGGCAGATGCAAGGTCTGTTCTGCTGGGGATGGCATCCCTCACTTGAGTATTTGCATAGTAATTAGCCTGATTCTTTTACGGATTAATTCTAGGCAACTAGGTACTGAGTAGCTGCTGTATGTCCTGTGGGAGCTGCTGGGAAGGATCAACCCTGGCAGAAAGGCAGCCTGACCCTCCTCCTCTTGCCAATGGGAAGCAAAGCCTGGCAGAGTGAGCAGTATGGGCATGGATGACTATCAATGCTGGGCCTCAGTGAAGATGTGAGGTCAAGGACAGAACTTCTGCTATGCTATGTGTTGTGCTGGACCTTGTAGATCAACTGAGAAATGGCACAAAGTCCCCTCCCTATGGAGCAGTGTAGGTCTCAGACTAAAAATCTTTGGGCATCATTTCCTTGTAACACACCTTGGCCGCTGTCTTAATCGTGCATCAGGTTCAGTGATGCTTAACTGGGGCAAGTTAAGGTGGCTGCAGTGCTGTTCTATCTCCCAGATGATGAGTTTCAGCTCTTTCAGCTGCCCACTCTTCCCGGGAACAACCCTAAGTTGAGCTCTGCATGTGATGCTCCAGCCCCATGTGCTGGTCCGGACATCACTGGCTAAATAAAACTTAGTTATGGGAGGGATTGAAGGAAAACTAACTGTGCAGCTCAGTGGGAAAATAGCAGAGCAGCTGTAGAGCTGCTGCAGAGCAAAGCTCCTGACCCTGTGGTAGCAGCAGGGACTGGAAAGTTGTGGCGTTTCCCATCTGTTGCAGGTTTGCATTTTGACTGTTGCACGTGGGACCGGGGTTTGGCTAGAGCAGGGATGGGCAGCTGCCTGCTGCTAGAGGGGAGCAAGGGATGCTGTGCTTTCCCATGATGCATCCCCTGGGCTAGCAAAGTAAGTGGTCACTAGTCCCTGTAGTGCTGTGTTTGTCTGGGTCTGTGACCTTGGGGCTTTTGTTCTGTATCCCAAAGGTCCAGCTTCTCCAGGAGCATGACTCCAGTGGATGCAGCCTGGCTGGGGGCAGAGGGTGAGGAAAGCGTTAATCTTGTCTTCCTAGGGGATGTAACAGCTGTTTTCAGGGAGGAGGAGAATGCCCTCCTGTGCAGCCAGGGGCTGGGAGAGGTCAGCCCCAGGAGGATGGTGGGGATGAGGAGGGGAGCAGAGATCAGCTGCTTGGCCTGGGCTGGGAGGGAGACAGCAGCTATCTCCATGCCTCCCTTGGTTTGCTGTCCTGAGCCTGCCCCTGCCTTAAAGGTGAGCCCATACCTGGCACAGGCTTTGGCCACACTTGGAAAACACAGGGACCCCAACATACCTGCAGTGTGGGCAGGGTTGGTATGGGCAGCTGCCTGACCAGAGCCTGATCAGCACTGGGAAGCTGCAAGGCAGCCAGTACCTGGCATCCCTCACCACAGTGTGTGACAGAGAAGTCCAGGGTGCTGGTGCTGCTGGCTGGCACCTGTGGGTCAGTGATGCCAATGGTTCACTGAGAGCTGCTTGCTCTGAACATCAAACGGCTGGTTTGTGTGTGCATCCCCCTTCCCAAATGTGAAAAGGCACTGCTGGGTGTTCTTAGGGTCACTAGACTCCTTAGAGCTGTGTGAGCAAAGAGGGGGGGCTATTATATCCCATACTCCTTCCCACTGGGAATTGATACAAAAAGCAGTCCAGCCTCTGGAGCCTGGGCAGGGGTGATGGTCTGTGAGAGCAGTCTTGGAGGGAAGTGATGAGCTGCCACTTCTTGGCCTCTCCAGATTCAGGCTGGCAGTGCTTTGTGCAAGGTTGGGCTTGGTCTGGGTCAGTTTAGACATGAACTTAGACCATCCTTTGATTCCTGTGGTCTTAGGAGATGCCTGTGGAATTCAGTGAGTCTATTCAAACCATCCAACACAACTGGGTGTGTGGAGGTGGTGGAGGGATGGCCAGGATCATCCTGGGGCTCCACTGAGCAGCTGGAGAAGCCTCTTGTTGTTGTGTAGCTCTGCCATATGTGACTGTGTGGGGTGGTTCTTTGGCCAGTAGCCAATTGCCCAATTTACTGCAGATCCTTGGAAAGCACCAAATGCGAACTAGCCCATAGAGGCTGCCTGCCTGCTCTGCCAAAGCAGAGGGAGGACAGGAGTTGTGTTACAAGGTATTGATTCATATGCTTCAGCTTGGATGAAAAGTTGAAAATAGTAAATTGTTGTTCTGTCTAGAATAGTGGTACCTGAATTAGCTCTTCACCAACCCCAAATATCAAGATGGCTGCCTGAGAGAAGCATTTTGGGTCTCTTGTATCCTTGGTGCAGCCTATGAAGGAAGCTAGGAGCACCTGCAGATTTGTCTGTCTTCCAACAAATCATCTGTGAGCAAAATTGGTTGATAGGTCAGGCTGCCCAAACCTGTCCTGTCCTCCTCTCTTCTTCCTGGCTGCAGGAAAAATGTGGTTTTCCTGGTGAAGCATTCTTGTTACAATTGCATGCCCCATTAACAATCTGAAATGGGCCAGAGCTTCAGATCATGCTCAAGGTTAACAGAGGCTTTGCAACTTGCAGTCCTCCAGTGTTTCCCATGGACTTCACAGATGTTGAAGCATCTGCTGGCTGCAGCAGGGCTGAGTGATTCAATCCAGATGTTGGGGCTCTTGCTTTCTGCCACGAAGGTAAATCACTTTCTGTGGTAAAAAAGCAGCGCTGCTTCTGTCTGGACTTCAGTGTTGCCTTAGATCTATTTTCCAGTTAAACAAGGTGACTGAGAAATGTTGGGGTCAAGGATTCAGGGCTGGCTCTGGGATGGGCATCTCTGCACCACAGCGTGGCTGGAGCACCTGCACAGCACACTCACAGCCCGTGTTTGGTGCTGAGGCTTGCCGTGAGAAATGCTTTTGTGCATAGGTGACTTCCACTCTGCTTCTGGAAACAGTGATCTAGCTCAGAGGCACCTGGGATCTTTCCCCAGACCAAGTGCAGTTGATCAGATCCCTGCCAAACCAAACCATTCTGTGATTCTATAAGTGAAAGCTGAAAATCAGCTTATTCCCTGAAGTTGCTCTGATTTTTCCAAAATCTATTAAAAATTAACAGCAGAGGCAGCTGGTGCCTCCAAGCTGAGGGGTGGAACAGGATAAAAATCAAATACCCAAACTCCAGCCCTTGTGTACAAGCAATTCCTGGTATACTTGAAGTAAAAAAATTGCAACGTTTACCTCTAGTTACAGGGTTTGCTGCTGGCTTTTGGGAACAGAGCAAGAAAAGTGCTTTTTCTGCCTCTATCTGCAGAGCTGAAGCTCTCCCCCCGCTTTGTCAGCAGCCCTCCATGGATTTAGGATTCTTCTTTCCCACGTGAGGTTTCTTCAGAAATAGATACCTACCCCTGTTCACTGCAGGCATGTGGATAGATATGCTCAGTTTTTTCTCACTTATCTATAAAATAAGCACTTTTGAAGCCTACTAATGACACAGACCTGTTGAGGTGGGAGTTTTTAGCACCGTTAACCAAAAATGATGAGCACAGCTAATTAGGAGGAAAAACACATTGAGGTTTCATACTGTGGGAGACTGGAGTTGGTAGAGAAACCCAAGCTGGCTTGATTAACCTCGGGGTTATGTGGGGACATGAGAGCAACAAAGCAAAGACTTCCCTGCTGAAATGAGATTGTCAGATGGGAACGGATGCTTTCGGAAGGAGAGAAGTGTAGGCAGTTGCTGCCCTCTAGTCCAATGAGCAGCACATTTTTAATGAGGTCTGGGATTGGGTTACCCACTGTTGAGTCTAGCTCCCCTCAAGCCAGGATCTGGTTACAGAAGAGCTTTTACTACTGGGAGCACAGCACAGGGTTGGTGGACTTGCCCAGCCAGGGTTTTGTTTGAAGGGGCTCTTCAAGGTGTTTCCACCAAATCTTTGCCTTCTCCCCATAGTCTTCTTTCAATGCTGGTTTAAAAGTCCAGATGGAGGGGTTTTTTCCCCAGGAGGAAAGGCTGTGGGGCTTTTGTACCTCTTTATCTCCTGATGTCCCTCCTGTCATGTCAGATCTGAGGTACTGCTGTGCAGCCTCCAAGGCCAAGGGGATGGGGCTTGGAGCAATCTGGGCTAGTGGAAGGTGTCCCTGCCCACGGCAGGGGTGTTGGAAATGGATGACCCTGTAAAGTCCCGTCCAACATAACTGTTCTATAATAAGATGGAAAATGCATAAATTTTCGATAGTAAGGTGGCAAAACTGCCCTCATGCTGTCAGTGTGTTACTACTCGTATAATTTAGGACCTTTTTATTTTTAACCTCCCCAGCATGTGCCTGTTACCTCCTTCCCTGCTCCCCTCAGTGTCTGTGGTATATCCACCATCTCCCATTCTTCTGTCTTGGCTTGTATGTGCTTGCATGTGCAACGTATCACTTCTGCTTCCTTCTCCCCTGGAGAGCTGCCAGCCTCTGAGCTTTATCAGCTTCCCCCTTGGGAGCTGGCTTCCCTGTCACACATGGCACTGTCCTGGGATTTGCTGGCTCTAAGGCTGTAATCTTGAAAAGCAGTTTTTGGCTTTACAGGCTTTGCAGCAGCACTTCCTCTTGCTGGGTGGTTGATCCCGTGGAGCCAGATGGTGAGTGATTCCCAGGCAGGCTGGGAACAGAGGGAAGGGATGGGCTGGAAAGCTCAGGTACCTGCCCTGATGTCTTCTTTGGCAGCTTTGAAAGTCTGGCCTCTCAGAATCATGGAAGCTCTGAGTGGTTTGGGTTGGAAAAGATTTCAAGAAGATTTCTACCATGGGCAGGGACACCTTCTACTAGACCAGGTTGCTCCAAGCCACATCCTACCTGGCCTTGAACACTTCAAGGGATGGGGCAGCTGTAGCTTCTCTGGGTTACCAGGGCCTCACCATCCTGCTATGAGTAACCCATTGTGACCAACGTTTGTTCCTCTCTAGGATCCTGGTTACCAGGTGGGGATAAGCTCCAACCTGGGGTGTGCAGCCATCCCAGCATTAATTCTCTCCCCCTTTCAGCTATTATGCTGGGCTCTGCCTAAGCTGAAGGGTATGTGTGGATGCTGCCCTGGCATTGCTGGGGTCAGCACAATGCTGTCCAAGCACATTAGCCTGGAGGGCCACCTTCATGCATGTTGGGGAAAATGCGCCTAAGTACATTAAACATCAAACTCTTACTCTGAAGAGCTGGTGAGAGCTGCAGGTGAAGAGTAAAGAGGGGATAACTTGAAGTGTGTATGGAAAGGGCAGGTGGCTCAAGGTCCTCATGAGGCACAGCTTTGAGCCCGGGGGCTTAAACAGCTCAGTGTATTTCAAAAGCTGTCTTGGCAGAAGCTCAGTTGGTGTTTGCTCAAGTGTTTTGCTCTGTTCCTAAAAAAAATGAAGTCCCCCGCTTCACATGGATCTGGAAGCTGCAAAAGAAAATAGTTGATGCAGCTGTAGAGACCATCAAGATGTGGGAATGGGCAAGGCTTGCACCACTTCTTCTGCTTGCTTGGGATTGTGGCATGTGGTGGGAGTTTACTCTTGTGACAAGGAGAGTGATGAGATGGCACCTTACAAGCAAAGAAATATCTCAATCAGCAAAATACCCCTGAACTGGCAGTGCTCCACTGAAACTGCCATAGCCTTACTGGTGTGCTGCAAACTCTGAGATGCTTAACATGGTGATCCCCTGGGCTTGCTCTGACCTGCTGCTTTGGTCAGCACTGTCCCAGCATGGCTTTATCCCTGCTGGCATCACTTGTGACTTGCCCACAGTGCTGTCTGGGTGGCACTTCAAAGCTCTCCCATGGTTGACCTGTCCCACTACATGGTTAGAGGTTCTCCTGGTCATGCCATGGCTGTGGTGCTTTGCTGTCCTGACTAGAAACACCTTCCCTGAGATGTCCCTGGCTCATGGTGGTATATGTAGAAAAGCTGTTCTTCCTTTCAGCTGCCTGTGGGTGGGTTAGTCCTGCCTCTAGCAGACCTTAGGCATGACTTGATGCTTCTTCTTGCTTGTTAGCACACAGGAGGGATGGATATGGGGCTTGGCTGGTGGTTATCCAGCCTGCTAGGAGTCGCTGGAGAGCCCTTTTGCAGACTAGAGGTGCCCAGCAGCAGGTGCCCCAGCCTTGGCTTTATTGCCACCACCTTATTCCCCAGGAGCATCTTCAGTGTCACATTCCAGACATAGCTGATGGAGCTTTCTGGCTTCTCAGCCTGGTTCCTATCCAGCCTCTCCCTTTCCAAGAGCCCAGGTGGATGTGTTACCAGTGCCAGCTTGCCACTGGCTCTGATCTTGAGTGATATGGCTGAGTTGTCTCTGGGCCATGGGTGTCCTTTCCAGTGACAGCTCTTCCTGATGGATAGCTTTTGAGGCTTCTCAGCTACATGTTCCCAGTTCACCATGTTCCCTTTGAAGGTGATTAACCTGGCTATGGCCACAGCTCTTAACAACTTCCTCTTCTTGGAGAGCCATCCATGCATCCCAGGTTAGCTCTGATGTACAGCCTGTGCCAGGTGATGTCTGTGCTGCTGTCTTCTCTCACTTATCCCTGCCTGCTGGAAGATCAGATTCTTGACTGTGAGAGTCTCACTGCTCCTTTTGGGGAGAGGATCTCCCCTCGGTGGAAACAGCAGCTGCCGGAAGATGCCATCCAGCCGGGGTGCGGTGAGCAGCTGCTTCTAGGAAATTCCTGTGCTCTCTTTCTGCGAAGTGTTGCAGCGATGCTGGAGGTGGCACTTCCTCCCCTCACGCCCCACCCCGTCAGCTTGTGAGCCCAGGTCACTGTTCACCGGCAGCAGCATCATTGCCATGCCAGGGCTGGGTTAATTCCTGGGTCCCAGCCCCTTTGAGCATCCCACTAGGCACTGGCCTTGCATTGCAGGGGGCAGCAGGGCTTATCCCTGTCCTGCTGTCCCAGGGCACTAACAAACTCCTGTGTTCATTAGCCCCAGCAGTGGCAAGCAGCCAGCACCTGCTGCTCGCAGCTTTGATGGGGGATAAGGCATCAGGATGGCTTTTAGTGATGGGGAGAGCTTTGGCCTCTGACACTTTTTTGTTGTTGTTTTTTTTTATTGCCTAGCTGGTTTTGTGCCATTGAGTCCCCAGTACGGATGCACCAGTAAAGCTCGTGAGAAATGGCTTTTAATCCAAAAGCTGTGGGTGCATTCACACTGGCCTGGAGGCTGTTCGTCATCTCTGCCTGATAGCGTATGTTGTCTAGGCAGAAAATCAGATTTCCTCCCTTCCCTTTGTTAAGTGGGAGATAACTTGCCGGGTGGAGGTGATGACTGTGGGGCCCCACTTGGCTAATCCATTGTAATTCATACCATCTGGCTATTGTCCCCGGCACAGGGAGGGGTAGGTCACCCATGTACCTGCTGCCATGGGCATTCCGAGCTCTGCCTTCTGTCATGGGTCTCCCTGTGGGACTGAGGGTTTGTCTGACTCCTGCTCTGACCCATAGGATCTGTTGGAGGGATGTGTCTATCCTGGCTGTGGGAGCCATCTCCCTCCAGCTGCCTGTGCCGATTGTGTCACGCAGGGGGGTGGTCCTAGGGGAGCAGGGGCAGTGTGTGCCCCCCTTGGCTCAGGTCCTGCTCAGGAAGGAGGCTGAAGCTTTGCAGGGATGCCCACCCAGGCTGTTTGGGTGGGGGGCTCCTGCATTATCCACTCATCAGGGATTTGGGGATGGGATTTGGGTCATCCCTAAAGGTATCTTCTGGCTTTAATTTAATTTAATTAGGCTTGTGGCTTCCTGAACCTCAGTGCTAAGGACCTGCAGGAGCATCACCAGGGCTGCTGCCACCCCAGCCCCATCTGCCTGTGCCTGGGCATGAGGGCTGCTCCCATGGGGCGTAGGGACATGGCATGCCATGCAAGCCACTGGCTGGGGTGGTGTTTCCTGTGGACAGTGATGACACTGGATGAGTTGGGGACTGTGGGTGCCCCTTCCCAGCCCTACTCCCCCAGCAGTACCTTGGGTGTGGGCAGAAGGTGGCTGATGGCTGGCTGGGGAAGCCAGGGCTGGCACATGGCTGTGGCAGTCCAGCTGCCGTGGGGACAGGTGTTCCTGCCTTCCTCTCCCTCTTCTATGCCCTGCCAAGAATTTGTTCCCTCTTGCCCAGGGCTGACATCACCCCTTTATCACTCCTGGCTCCCAATGTGTGCAGCATCCAGAAGGTGTTGGCCACAGGGCCTTGCCCTGCCCACGCAGGACTGTGCTGGGCATTTTATCCCACCTGGACCTGCACTGTGCAAGGACCCCCTCCCTGAGTTCCTCTGGGGGACTGCCATCCCCTCTGATGGCACCATGTCCAGTTGGTGCCATCTTGTGTTATGCTTCCACATTCATGAGTTGCCCGCAGTCCCAGGATGGAGCTGAGACAAACAGCTGAGTTGGGATCAATGCCTGCTCAGGTACCCAGCTGAGCCTCCCTCAGTGCTGCCCAGATAAATCCCATACCATGCCTGGAGAAGCTGGATCCATGGTGGCAGTGAATTCTGTCAGTGAATTCTGTCAGAGCCAGAAGGCCATGTTAACTTGGCATCCCAGGCAGGGTTTGAGCTTGAGCCTATAGAAACAAGTGGCTCAGCATGTTAATCCATTTGGCCTTGACGCCCCAGCTCCCCCTGTTGATGGTGTCCTTGAGCCTGGTGACAGCTCCATCTTGGTGAGGCCTCTTGAACAGGGTGGTGGGACACACAGCAGTAAAGCTCTTTGGGGAGGTGGGATTGATGTCTTGGGATTTGGGGAGCAGCAGGGGACACCCAGACAAGGGCCTGCAGAGCTGACGGAGGCAGAGGAGGTGACGTACTTCTGAGTGCCCAACTCACTGGCAAGCTCCCTGTCGGTGGAAGATGGAGCATCCTCAAGGGGTGCCTCCAGCTGCCTCACTGCTGGGGGCCTGGGGCTACTAGGGTGCTCCTAAGGTGACTGTGGGAGAGCTGGTCCATCACAAGGGTGCTCAGCCCTGGGGCAACCCCTCTTCAGCTTCCATGCTAGGGTGGCTGTGGAGGGACCAGATCCAGGGAGCTGCTGCTGTACCCACCAGGCTCTGGGCAGTTTTGCAGCCACATGGGAATTCTTCAGCCAAGCTGTGTTTCTCACTGCTTAGGTTTTTGTTGGTCCTCACCTGTTGTGCGTGGTTCAGGGATGAGGATGCAGAGGTCATGAGGATGCACAACTTGTGGTTTGGGGATAAGGGTGCTCAGTTTATGGCTCAGGGATGAGGATTCACAGCTCGTGGCTTGGGGATGAAGATGCTTGGCTTGTAGCTGAGGGCTTAAGATGCCCAGCTTGCAGTTCCACAGTTCCAGAATGAGGCTGCACAGCTCACGGATGAGGACTCACAGCTTCGGAAGGGAAATCACTCCTAGGTTGTGTTGGGGTGAGCAGTGCAGACCTGTGCCACCAGCCCTCCATCATGTACCGTGCCAGCAGTGGGGCCAGGAGCATGCACATGGCTGTGGTTCAGCAGCTCCCGAGTCGCAGCCGTGTTATTGACCCTGAAGCACTAATTTGGAGCATGTCTGTGTGTGGTGGCCTTGGCGCTGGTACAGGAGAGCAGGGTGAATACCTGAGACAGCAAAATGTCAGCGTGTGCCATGCCTGACTCACCTGAAAGAAATGTGTCCACACCAAACCGGGACTGCAGCTTCAGCTGGCTCCTGGCAGCGAGGAAGCTTGAGCGGTGCAGGCTGGCTGGGAGCTGCCCAGCTGGCACAGCTCCGCCCCAACGGTGGCTCTGCTGTCACTGGTGAGGAGCAACTCTGCACAATGGATGCAAGATGCTGTAGGGTCAGTCCTCTTTGCCCTCCCCGAGTGGGTGGGAGGGCATCCCTTACGACAATGCTGGAGGCCAAACCTTTTTGCTTGCTCAAGATAGGTAAAGTTGGGGCTCGTCATGCCAAAATTGTAGTGGAGGCTTGCATCTCTCACTCTTTGGGGAGCTGCTGAAGTGTCTGGAGCTTCTGCAAAGTCCTCAGGAATTGCTGCTGACCCGCCGCTCTGGAAAACGACCATCCGGCCCCTGGCACAGGAGTTTGTCCCGGCTTGTTGAGCCTGTGGAGGGCTGTTGGATTTTGCAGCCTGGACTCGGGCTTTACTCTGCTCCTGCTGCAGCAAAAGCCTTTATCTGCTGGCCCAGGGTCCGTGGGGATGCGATGGGGGGCTTCAAGGTACCTGGTCTCCTCTGCTGCGCTCCCAATGCTGGGCTCCTGTTCTTGATCTGACTGTGTCCCTCCCTCCAGCACGACTGTGAAACCAGCTGGCAAGCTGGGAGCTGGGGCGGGGGGAACTGGCGCCGGCATCTCCTCGTGATGCAGCATCCTGGGAGGGCGGCGAGCCCAGCGCCAGCCTTGCTGGGGCTGCACAGACTGGACGGCTCCAGCGCTCCCGGCGGGGCCGGGCCAGCGGCAATGGCTCCTGCGCCAGCTCCAGCGTGGCCAGCAGTTCATGTGCTGGTGGCCATGGGGAGTGAACATGGCCCTGGGCAAGCTGCCATGCTTTGGGGCCACGTGTTATGGGCCCAGGGGGTTCATTGTCCCTCCTTGTACTCTTGGCCTTGCCTGAGCACAGCGGATGGGAAGTTGAGCAGCGGCAGAGACCTTAAATAACACCAGTGCATCCTCGCCCTCCTGGCCCTGGGCCTCCCGCCAGCCTCCCAGGAGTTTGTTCTTTTTTTTTTTTTTTTTTTTTTTGTATGTGTGTGAATAAATTAGAACTTCCGAAACAAACCCTCTGACTGCCTTGCTCCTCTAAGGCAAAACAAACCCTGCCTGACTTAGACAGCATGTGGCTGTGTTTGCTCCCTCCTTGCCAGACTTGCCCATAAGAAGAAGCCGGCAAACCTTGCTCTGTTTTTTGGGATGTTTCCCGGGGTTTTGAGAGTTATGTGGTGATAGGAAGCTTCATGTTTGGACTGGAAGCTTTTCTTGCTGGCTGCATGGGAGCAGTGCAGGTAACCCTCCTGTCAGCTGTGTCACGGTGAGGCTTTGGCCACGAGCACTTTTATTTTTAAACCTTATCTTTATTGCAGTTTTCTCCTGCACTGCTTGGAAAGGTGAAATGCACCTTATCTGTTTGTCTGCTGGCAGCATGCACTGCTTCTTGGGAGGAGAGAGGTGGATGTGCTGTGTCGGCAGCACCTTCAGCATGCCCTGCAGACCAGGGTGCTGGGGGTGATGCTGGGGCAATGCCAGGAATAATGCTGGGGTGATGCTGAGCCAACTTGGCAAACATCCATAATGAGTGTTGGTTGTTGTGTGAGAAAGGGAGGTCCCTGCAGCCCCTTGCTGCTACCTGAGCACCTCCGGGCTGTGTTATCACTCTGGCCTCTGGCCAGGGGTTTAATTATAGATTTCTGACGCAGCAATAGAGTAAAACTGAGCTGGGGACCAGGGATAGAGATGCTGAACTGAAGCTTAGCTGGTACCTCAAGAGCTGTACCCCCAGCCTGGGGGTATGGAAGAGTGAGGCAGCCAGTCCCTGTGCCCACCCCCCCATCCTGCAAAGGCTAGTGGAGGGGTGCTGAATCTCATGGGGTGACAGTCCCCAGGGCCACTGTTGTGTCCATCCTGGGGTGGCTCCAGGTGCCACACAGGATCCATTTTCAGGGATGTCCTCAGGAGCACCCAAAGGTGATGGGCAGGAGGGTGCAGGGCCGTGGGGCTGCCCCTGCAGCACTCCTCTGTTAATGGTTAATATGACTGGGCAGCGGTTATGGCACAGACTCCCCGAGCTATCAGTGCTGCCATCGGCCACGGGAACAGCCTGTACCTTGCTGCTGCTGTTTGTTTGCATCCTGGCCGCTCCACCCTGGCCATTGGCCTTGTCACCACTCTGCAACAGCCAGCTCCCGCCCAGGCTGTCCCCCAGCCACCCCGATGGTGGCTTTGCAGGTGACAGTGTCACCTGTGGTGCCCCTGTTTGAGCCGAGATGGAGATGAGGCTAGGACCAGGCACGGAGCACCAATACACTCCTACGTGGTCCATCCCGTTTGGATGCTCCCTTGAAGTATGCAGGGTAGCAGGAGCAGATCTGAATCCTTTTTTCTCTCTCACCCTTTTCAATTTCCTCATGCCACAGCCAGGCTAGGAGGTCCCCTGCTTCTTGACCACTTTCTGGGAGGCAAAAAGCATTCGGCAAGTCTTCCACCGAGCCTTTTACCAGCTCTGAATGGTGCTTGATAGAGCTCTTAGAGGCTATTTTGAGGGTTGATGGCCCCGCACGCAGCGAGGCTCTGGGCTGTTCCGATGTGTAACTGGTACCTGCGGGTTTACCTGCACCTTAAATCAGGGAGGTGCTCGGGGCGATGGGGTTGTAGATAAAGGGAGTGTTTTCTTCCTCCAGAAAGACAGAGTAAACAGCACGAGAGTAAACAGCAGCTCCTTGACCTGCGAATGCCCTAGGGCAAGGTCACATCCTGGTGAGTCAGGAGCTACAAAGAGTGTGGAGCCGAGGTGGTCCTCAGGCAAGGGAAACTGATGCTGGGGTGGATGTTTGGTTCCTGGGGTTGGTTCCTGGTGATAAAGAGGCAGAGCTAGGGGATCTTTGGAGGCTGGGGACAGACAGTGGCTGTCACTGGCCACTGCAAGGCTCTTCCGGTCTCTTTCAGGATGTGACTCGGGCTTTGGGCAGGCAACAGCCCGGCACTTGGACATCATGGGCTTTCGGGTGTTTGCCAGCGTGCTGGACCTGCAGAGTCCTGGTGCCCAGGAGCTGCGCCGGAGCTGCTCATCGAGGCTGACGCTGCTGCAGATGGACCTGACCAAGACGGAGGACATCCAGCGTGTCCTGCAGCACATCCAGGCCCACACCAACAGCGCAGGTAAGAGCCACCTTTGGCAACCCCACAGGACCCCACAAAACTCCCTGGAACCTCAGCCTGCAGCCAGCATGGCAGTGCCAAACCTCCATGTGTCCCCACAGGGGGCTGCATCCCTGCAGGCACCTGTGCCAACACCCTTTGCCAAGCTTTCTTCTTGTCCTGGAGCACCCCATAATTCCCTTGCATGACCCCCATCAGCCTGGGGAGCGGCTGGGAATCCCAGGGTGGGGATTCCCCATTTAGGTCACCTCTTCAAGCACCCCATTCCCACAGGACTCTGGGGCTTGGTGAACAACGCTGGGTTCAATGACACCATCGCTGACGCTGAGCTCTCGCCACTGGGCAAGTTCCGTGCCTGCATGGAGGTGAACTTCTTTGGCTCCCTGGAGCTCACCAAGGGGCTGCTGCCCCTGCTCCGCTCTGCTGGCGGCCGCATTGTCACCGTGAGCAGCCCTGCAGGTGAGCAGCCATACTCCAGTGTGGCATCCCTGGCACCCTCACCCTAGGCACAGCTTGAGCATCCCTATGGTGTGGTGCAGTTCCCACTCCCCAGGCACGCCAACTTTCTCAGCCAACTGGCACCAGGAACTCTAGGATGTGCTGGGAGCATTGCTGAACCCCACAGCAGCCACCAAGACATGGGGAGACATGGGGGCTGGGGACAGTCAGCCTGGTAAAAGGTAGCATGGGCAACCCAAGCCCAGCTACCATGTGCCTCCATTGGGGATGACAGCCCTGGCCAGGGTGGGAAAACCAGCTTCCTTTCCCTGCCCTTTTTTTGCCCATTAAAACACATTAATCCTCCACTGGGGATGACAATCCCAAGCTTTAGCTGGACAGGGAGTAAAATCAATTTTCTCTTCCCTCATCATTTTTCTCCCCCATTAAAACGTTAATTTGAAGCTAATGTCAGTTGTTTTCTCAGCAAAACAAACCCTAAGCCATTTCCTTGAGCAGGGGCCAGGAACACAGCCCTACACAAGCCCTGCCCTTCCCCCTTGCTCCCCTGTCCCTGCTGGAGCACTGGCTCACTCATTCTTTCACTCATGGCAGGTGACATGCCCTTCCCCTGCCTGGCAGCCTACGGGGCCTCAAAGGCAGCCCTCAGCCTGCTCATGGACACCTTCCGCAGTGAGCTCCAGCCCTGGGGCATCAAAGTCAGTCTCATCCTGCCCGGCTACTACAAAACAGGTAAGAGGGCCAGTGCCTGCTCCATCTGTGCCTGTGGGCAAAGGACAGGTATCCCAGGGAGGCAGAAGATGGAGCAATGGAATGAGCAGTTGGTGGTGCAAGCATGCAGCTTCTGAGCATCTTCAGCCATATGGGGACAGTGGCTATCCTGTGGCCGTTGGGCTCTGGAGGATTAGAAACAGCATCAGGATAAAGTCCTGCCAGCAGGTCCCATACCACTAGGGCTGGTCAAAGTAGCTCAGTCACATTTATGGTAGTGGCACTCCCACTGCAGGCAGGGTCCAAGCCCCCTGGTCCAGTCTCAGGCTACCAAGAGCCACTATGGTGCTACTACTGTTCTTCCCTCACGGCAATCTTTGCCAGGGTCTCAGCAACGTGGAAGGTGACTGGGGCTGCTGGCACCCATGGCAGGGGGGCTGGAGTGGGGGGGGCCCACGCAGCTCACAGGGACTGTTTCCTTGCAGGGACGACATGTGACGCTGCCTTCTGGAACCTGCAGAAGCAGCAGCTGTTGGCCAGTCTGCCCCAGGACCTCTTGCAGGCCTATGGCGAGGACTATGTGGAGGAGATCAACCAGCAGTTCATCCAGTTCATGAAGGTGGCAGTGGAGGACCTCAGTGCAGTAGTGAACAGCATCACAGAGGGGCTTCTGGCTGCCAACCCAGCCGTGCGCTACTACCCAGGGCAGGGCCTTGGGATCATGTATTTCATACACCGCTACCTGCCCTATTTTGTCCGAGACTTGTTCTTGAAAGGATTCTTCATCAACCCCAAGCTGCCCCGAGCGCTGCGGCGAGAACACCACAATGATGTGAAGAAGGCCTGACCTCGGCCTGCACTTGGCCTTCTCCCGGGCTTTCCAGGCACACCAGCCTCTGAGCGTGTGCAAAGCCAAAGGCACTGCCCTCCTGCACCGTGGGGGAAATCAGCACTAGACGTTAAAAACCAAATTTCTTTCCGAAATCAGGTAGATCTATTTTCTATTGTGCAAGAATCAACGTTTTCTAGAGACCTTGGTTTTGTATTTTTTCTAACCGTGCACCCTCCAAGAGGCCCATCCCTGCCTGACTCAGCAGCTCTGCACCACAGGCTGGGATGCACCTCTTTAGCTACCCACCACCTTCCTTACTGCTCTCAGAGCTGTTTGTCTCCATCCCTCTTGGCTGGGTCAGGGCTGGGACCCTGCGGCCACTGCCTCCCTGCCACTCATTACACACTCCACATGCTCCCAACGCGTGCAGGGGCCGAGACCAGGCTGCCAGTGCTGCAGAGCTCTTCATGAGATGAACTATGTGATTGTCACTTTTTAAATAAATCCATTATTGATATTCCAGCAGGTTCTGGCTGTCTCCTTCTGCAGTGCAGTGCTGCAATGCTGCTCAGGGATGCCCAGCCTGTGGGCAGAGCTGAGCTGGGTCATGGTTGACACCGTGCCGAGCACTGTGGCAGGAGCCTCGCCTGTGGCAGCAGGTGCCACAAGTACTCCCAGAAAAGGGGGCAGCCTGCCAGGAAGGATTTGTGCCCATTCCCTGCTCCTCCCCAGTCCTATGCCAAAGGCTTTTATTTTGCTTTGCTCTGATTCTGTGGCCCTGCTGGGGCAAGGATGGAAGCAGTGACAGTGCCCCATGTGGACAAGCGATGCAGCTCCCTAAGCTTATGGAACATTCCCGTAAGGCTGTACCTCTTAGTTCAGCAGCCAGCTGCACCCACAGACCAGGCACTGCCATGGCTTGGGCTGGAGGGAGTACCCTGGCCCTCATGGGGTGGTACCACCACCATGCCTGTGGAAGAAACAAGTGTCTCAACTCACACAGGAACCAGACCAGGCTCCACTACCACAGCTACCAGATTCCCTGTGACTGATGGAGGCTTCACCTGGGGCTGTAGGAGCAGGTGCCCAAGTAAGCAGGAGAGCATAGTGCAGTAGGCAGATATTTATTGGTGTAGGGAGGAGGGGATCACAGGAAAACAAACTGCAGATGTGACCACAGCACAAGCTGGGACAGAGCCACTCTCCATTGATCCTTCCTCCCAGCAGCATCCAGCATGTTTCCCTCCAGCAAGGCTTGTCTGCTGCCATTGCACATCTCCCAGAAGTCAAGTGCAAGTAGGAACTAGCCAGGACAGAGCAGCAAAGAGCAGGGCTGCCACACCATGCCCAGGGCTTGGCTCACAGTAAGCTCATGGGCAGGGCCTGGGACATCCCTGCCCCCACCAGGGTGACTAAGGCTGCTCTGTCCCCAGGCCAGCTGTGCAATACAGCTCCATGGCAGTGCCAACCCACCCTCTGCAGGGGAGAAGTCTGGATGTCTAACCTGGAGGAGTGCAGGGGTCCATCACCATCCACAGAGCCCAGAAGAGCCCCAGCTCTTGCATGGTTGTGACAGTAAACTGCAAGCTGTGGGTCTCCACAGCTCTGAGGAAGGAGCTCAGCCAGCTCATGGAGCCCTGTCCAGGGCAGCAGGGAGACTGATGAGAGCTGCTTCTGCAGACATAGAGAGGCTGTATGAGTGCAAACATTGTCAGAGTGGGAGGACTATGCTCCACAAGCACTCTGGCTCTGCCCTCACATTCCCACAGGCTCCATTCCAGTCCTGGCCAGGGTTGCTTGGTCTCTCCCAGGTCAGGGTTCACTCACTACAAGGGGATGCAGGGATTGCACAGCAGCATTGGCTACGCTACAAACCACATTCTAACTACATCTCACAGGAACAACACTGAGTAGGAGACGTGCAGACCACTGACAGAGGGCCCCCCAGCCATGGCAGACCTGACCCATTCCTCTGCAGCAGCAGGACCCTCTCAGAGGCAGCCCCCTGCAGCTCTATGAGCATAAGCGCACACAGCAATTAGTACAGAACACTGGGACTACTGCATACACAAGAGGAAGCCCTCCTGCTGCACAGGGCTAAGCCTGGACCACTGGTCCCTCTGGATGTCTCACAGTACACACAACTCCAGCTTGTGAATAATTTAACTAGCAACTGTACAGTTTCCTCATTTGATCCAGTTCCAAAGATAGGACATCCCTGGAGTCTGGGCAAGGGACAACTCAGGGAGTTAGGGGTCCCTCCGGACTCCAGGGGTGGGAGGGTTGGACAGGAGCAGAGCAGAGTTAGAAGATGGGAATGTAGTTGTCGATCTTGGTCCTGTGCCGCTGGGCGATGCACTCTGCAATCCACACAATGTTACGACACTCCTGCTCCTTCAGCTTCACAAAGGCGTAGAAGACTCCAAAGTGGAATTGGTTGAGGAAGGCCAGCTTGTTCAGCTTTACCTGGGGAAAGCCCAGAGGATGACATGTCATTTGTTCACCTCAGATCAGAGGAGTTGGTCAAGGCAAGCATGGAGCTGCTTGGAAGGACCCACGACTTCCCAGCAGGCTGGAAGGCTCAGCACAGGTATCCTGTTCTGCATCTCTCTAGGTCCTTGGGACAGTTCTAATCTGCAGCACATGGCTCAGGACAGGCTCTGACTTTTGAAGGGGGAAATATTTATAACTCAGGTACCATCAAAGTCCTTATTTTCCATGCAATTACACTCTGGTTTTGCTATTGATGGACCAAATATCCAACAGCAGCCCCAAACATGCTTCCTCACACTGCTCTAATCTGTTTGGGTGAGACAACAGCACTAAACCAGGCCCCCATTCTCATGCAGGAGCAGAGGGCATGCATGCTTCTCCTTCCCCCAAACCCTGTTCATCCACAGCACTGCTGACAGAGCAGCAGACCAGTTTCCTGACACCTGGAGCTTTGCAAATGGCACATATCAAGAAGTATCTCGGGGCTCACTCACCTCGTGCTCAAAGAACCTGTCTTCAAGGGTTTTGTCTCCAGGGTTGCTGCCAGCCCCTTCAAATAGCAGCTTGTACTCCTGCAGGAAGGCATTACATGAGCATATACCCTGTACCCAAGCTCAGCAGCACTTGAGGGCCCCCAGTGTCACAGATACTCCAGCCACCCTGTCAAGTCAGAGGACAGAGAAACCAAGAGTCCTGCCCCTTCTCCAAAATGTGCAGTTCTCAAAGGCGTATCATTGCTCTGAGACAAAGGAAAAGGGGCATCAGATACAGACCTCCATGGACAGAGTGTTTGGGCCAGACTCCTGTGCCCACACATACAGGCTTGCACAATAAGGGGACACTGAGCTCTCTGACTCCAAACATGGTTCCCAGCCATGCACAAAGTGGCTTGAACACAAACTAATCCAAACACATCCTCCCAGGTCAGTGTCTCACCTTGAACTGAACCAGAGCTCAGGGCTGGAAGTGGGGCAACACCACTTCTCACTGAAGACATTTCCATTCCCAAATCAGGCAAGGAGAGCCTGTAATTGCTGCAACATCAGCACCTCAAGGGTTTGGTGGTAAGGGCAGTCCCCACACCCTTGGATAGGGAACACTGTCTCCCCATCACCACTGAAATAACAACCATTACTAACAAGCCAACGACATCTCAGGCAAGAAAAGTCCTGGCCACGCAGAGCACAGGACCAACAGCATCAGAGAAGACTGATGAAGACATCTCTCTTCCCAAGCTGTCAAGCCACAAGTTCCCCCAGATCCCCAAGAAGCTCTGATCCAGAGCAAGCTCTTGTAACAATCTCCATGGCCCTCACCCCAAAGCACTTACAGGGTAGTAGTCAGCAACGTTTTTGACTTGCTCGTAGTCATCTGCCCTGGCCAGCTGAGCCAGGCCCTCGGGGTAGAGCTTGCCACAGTGTGGGAACAGCTTGGCTCGGTCCTCCTTGGACAGCTCAGTACCAAATGAGTTGATGGTGATAATGAAGGCCCTCCGGTCAGCTTCAAACTGCGGGAAAAGAGTGGCTCATGCTGGGATGCAGTATCTTCACCAGAGGCTGGCAGATATCAGTGCTGCTCTGCACACAGCCACATCAGAGGGCAGCATGAAGAGGCTGCTGGGATGTGTACAGCTCTCCAGTGCTGGGCCAGAGCGGGCTACAAGTGAAGGCTCCCAGTATGCCCAGTACTTGGGGAGCATTCTGGTGAGGAAATCCCCATCCCAGGCACAAGCCAAATCCTGCCCAAGTCAAGGAGTGTCTCTCACCTACTGCTCCTGAGTCCTGCACATCCCACAGCAAGCCTTGACATGGAGACAGGCTGTGACCCAAACAGCTCTGGTAGCTCTTCTACATGCTATCCAAGTGAGAGAATGAATGTGTTGCCACAGAGGCAACAAAATGCACCAGTTCTTGGGGAACCAAAGTCATAGGAAGACAGTGTTCCCTAGGTCTCCCAGTGAACAGGTCAAGCAAGCATGGGGATGCTGAACACTAACTGGAGAATGCTTAACAAGTGGCAAGCAAACTGAGCCCGAGTAGGGAGTGATGACCATGCCTGTAATACCATCCAGCTGTGGGAGTTCCCAGACTTACCTCCAGGATTGGGCACATGGCATCTGCCGTGGTACCTCCTAGCGTCTTGCAGAACTTGTAGAAGGACTCCAGGTAAGCCTGGAAGAGAGAGGGCAGATGAGCATTCTTCTACACAGCTTCATCTACTCCCTCACAGGGCCCTTCAGCAGAGGACAGACAGCAAGCAGGGAGGCTCCCAGACACTGTAACACAGTACAGGCACTCTGGCCCCATGTGAACTTGCCCACACAAGGATAGTGCTTTCCCCACGAGCCAGAGACATGAAGGGTTGTGGTTGGGTTTGTTCAAGCGATTGCATGAGCTTACTGTGGGCAAGATCCCCAGGAAGCAAGGTTAAAGCCTATTTTTCTCCTTTGAGTCGCCTAACTCATTTACTGAAGTTTCACGTGGTTTCCTGACCCTGCTCTGGCCTCCAAAAACATGCCAAGCCACACAACCATAGCTGCAAGACCTACACTCAGAAAGTAGCGCTGTGTAAGCAGAGTCAAGAGATGAGACAGGACATCTGTGAAAGAAACCAGCCCTTCTCTCTCATTCTCTTTTCACACTGCGGCCACTTGGTCTTTATCCCAACTGGAGCACTGCAGAAAACACACAGCCAGGCACAGCTACCCTGCCTCCAGGAAACGTAATCCTTTGTGGGGATGTTCTGTAATCCATCTGGAAGATGACTCTGTCTCCCAGGAGGAGCCTAAGAAGGCTGTGGATGGCTAAAAGTATCATTCAGCAAAAATGTTCTCAGAAGTGATCAAGTAATAAAACACCTCCCTGGGCAGAGGGTTGCAACCAGAATAATTTCAAAAGGATGGAATAAAAGGATGCTGAAACACCACACATCTCTGCTTTATCACAACAAGTCTAGGACTGAAGAGGGACCAAGAATGTACAAGTTGGACATCCTCAGCCTCTGCACTAGGAAAGCACCTGGATTACTGT